TCTGTTCGAATGAAAGGAAAAACAGGGGCAAGTGCAGCCGCCTGTTGTTTCTTAAAAAAGAAGAAGAAGAAGAAGAAGAAGAAGAAGATCAGTGATGGTCTTGTCTTTTTTCTGATGGTGTGCTCTGCGCCCTGGGGGAGTGTCCTGGGGGAAGGTCTCACTAGCAAAGAGGAATGGATTGCACACCTGAATCTGGACGTGTTTTGTGGAGTGATGCAGAAGGTTGCGATTTGTCTGCTTTTCTACACTAGCAAAGAGGATTGGAGTGCACACCTGAATCTGTACGTGTTTTGTGGATTGATGCAGAACATTACGATTTGTCTGCTTTTCTACACTAGCAAAGAGGGTTGGATTGCACACCTGAATCTAGACGTGTGTTTGTGGAGCGATGCAGAACATTGCCATTTGTCTGCTTTTCTACATCTCTATCATCTCTACGTCCAAATTGACTGCAAGAAGTAACATTAAGTTATTAACTCGATTGAGTCAAATTGACATTAACATAACATAAGGATATTCTTTCTATTTAAAAAGATTGTTAACAAATAAAAACCATCCAGATTTGGGCACTTAACCCACTCCACTTTGCCAGTGGGACCTCTGCCCTAGGGTTTTGGCAGTACACGCCTGCTGATAATTGCAACATTTATTTATTATTATTTTTTTTTTTTGTAATTCTTCTTCTCTGAAATTCGCCTCACACTACCTACCTACCTACCTAAGACTATATAGAGGGGACCCCTGCAAGCATAGGGCCTCGCAAACGAGGTAATTCATGTTGCCCCTCGGGGGGTGGGGCCGCTGGTGGGGGTCCGGCTAATGCAAAGACCGAGCATTTTGCCAGTAGCTGCGCCTCCCTTTCTCATCGTTCCCCACCCCTCATCGAGTAGCAGCAGAGGCTATGGCCAACACTCTCCCACACACCACACACAACCCACTCGCACCCGCACCCGCACTCACACCCGTGTTGGTCATAGACCCCGCTAATACCGATCAGGGGTATCCAGAGGACTATCACAGTCTGTTGGCACTAAGTGCGCCGCAGGCCAGCATGGGGCTTGAACCCACAACCTCCTGAATGCCACTTGCCATTGCTGCAGTTTATACTTTTAAGTTTTAACTTTTGAGGGTTTTTTTTTTTTTTTTTTTTTTTTTTTTTAAACTACGACTTCTTTACTCTAAATGAACAGGTTCAATGGTCTTCTCACAGCACCCACAGCAGCAAAGTGTCAGTTTTTTTTGGGGGGGGAGGGGGAGGGAAAACCGTTAGGATTGTACCTACAACAAGGAAGCCACGTAGGTGTGCGCGGCCGCTGTTTCAGTCAGTTTTATATCTCGTTACAACCTTCTGAAGACTGAAGGGGCTAGTCTTTTTTTTTTGTTGTTGTTTAAACTTTAAATGTACCTTTACTTTCCCCGCCCACTACCGCCCTGCTCACCTCGACCTTTCACCCCTCCTCCCTCCTCCCTCCTCCCTCCCTCTTCCTCCATCAACAACTCGTCATTCTGATGGCCATCTGTGAATGCAAGCTACAAGCACACCTCTGCCTCCCAACCGAATTCGGACTTGCCCGGGGGGTCGCCTCTCTGGTTGCCTCTTCAATGTTTTTTTGTAAACTTTCTGAATTTTTATTTTCTTGTTCTGCCAGGGATAGACTCTGGGCATAGCCACACCACTCTCGAAATGTGAAAACGACAAAAACGTGGCGGATGCATCTGGCCATGTTCTAGGGGGAAGTTCATTCTCATTTTGCACATTTCGAGTGTTGCTGTGGCCATGGCCTCTTAAAAGTTGGGGAATCGTACGGCAGGGGTGACACAGGGGTGACATTTCGAGTGTTGCTGTGGCCATGGCCTCAAAAACGTGGCGGATGCATCTTTCCAATCATGTGTGTGGCTGGTGACACGTACGGTCCGTCGAAGTTGGGGAATCTGAACGGCAGGGGTGATGTCGTAACTGTTAAGTCCCCAATCTGTGTGTGTCCTCCAATGACATTTCTAGAAACGGTTTGATTTTTTTTTATTATTATTATTTTTTAATAAGTATTTAGGCGTCCCCGAGGATGCAATATTATGGACGTGCAAAGGTGGGGGTGATATTGCAACTTTGCTACGGTGCTATGTGTGCACAAAAAGGCCGACAAAAACAAAAGAAAAAGTCGTGTGTTCGAAGTACTGTCATAATGATCTGAAAGAGACCACATTCAGAGGACCCAGCGTATTGGATGAGTCCAGCACTCACCCGGAAAAAAAGAGGAAGCGAATTCGATTGCTCCCATCCCATTGGCTGACGGGATCACCCTAAGCTGATTTTTTTTTGGCTTTCTTTAAACTAGTACCTTTCCCGCGTGGGAAAATACGGAAAACTGGCAGTTTTCCCAAACTCCTGAATATTCGGAGGTCGGGCCCGACGACTGCTGCCATTGATATATCTGATCGGCGGCCGTCATTTCGTTTCGGCCTCTGAAAAGGTCGGACGCCTACCCGAGGCCGCTATTTCCCCAGCGGCAAAGGTACTGAAAAAAATGCAGAAACCCTTTTTCAAATGCTAAAAGCAGGTCACACCACGGTTAAAACATCTGTAGTGGGACCTACCGTCTTCACCCGAAAATAACGCCCGGGCATTGTGTACGAATATAACGCCGGCCGTTATATTCGTTTACAACGCCCGGGCGTTATATTCAATAAATTTGTGGTAACTTCTGTGAGGCCCAAAATTCCGAAAAAAAAATAATTAAATCAAATTATTCTGAAAAAACAATATGTTGTCCAGGATTGGAATGCGACCAACTTTTGTTTGTTTTTTTTGGGGGGGAAATAATATTCTTTTTTTTTTTGAAAGAATTTCCTTACTTTTTTATTAGGCCCCAGTGCCCAAGGCAACATACATCATATGAAAAGAGTTTCAGATTCAGGGGTCGCAAGGTCTCCAATCCTTCTCTGTGAGGTGGAGCCCCTCCCCTGTAGCCAAAGGCAGGAGTTCAGTAAAAAATTTACAAGCTTCCAAAAATAACTACAATTGATTAAAAAATTAAAGTAATGATTAGCAATACCTACAATACCAGAATTCCAAAAAAAAAAAAGGCGGAAAGCAAAAAAAAAAAGAAAAAAGAGAAAACTATGGCGCAGTCAGGGTTACAGTTTGTAATTGCATTTGGAACTGCGTTTTAGCAGTTTAGTCAGGGCCCGAGTTTCAATTG